CAATAATAAATAATACGCTACACTTCACAGCACCTGCGCATGCACGTGGTCGTCTACGCGCAGGCCTCAGCCACGTGGTGGCTGGAGAAAAAAAGACACAGTACAAATACTAAAAAAAAACTGACACCGTACTAGACCTAATCAAGCTTTACGCTAGCGCCTTACGTCTCATAACGCTACATACAGAGGCAAGCTGGAAACATGCAAAAACACTTATCTGTAGCTGTCCATTCCGGAGCTCTCCAAAAACACGTCCGACTCGACAAGGCCCACAACTCTCATACAGGAGACGGACCGCCATCTAGTGAACACTGCAAGAACTAAACTAGAGGTGGCTACATACAGGGGACGGTACCGCCATCTAGTGAACACTGCAAGAACTAAACTAGAGGTGGCTACATACAGGCTACAGGGGACGCACAGCCCACGCCCTAAGGAGCTTGCCCCTAATATGTGACGAATGCAGTATTATACCTGGAAGCGAGAACACCACCCCTGTTAAACCGATTTAACTTACTTACGATGCAGACTTTCTTACGATTGTACGAAACACTGTCTAACCATGCTAAAATATTTTCATATCCAATCCCGATATATTTTTCTCCGAGCACTGGCCTAGATTCCGCAAGCTGCAAATCATATTTGCACAAACATTACTAGATTCCCTGAATGTACAAATTTGTGATGTGCGTCCTATGACCATGGAACCTAAATTCACAGATATTGTCTACCACAATATTTTTCCAAACCACCCGAAATTACTACATCACAGAATTTTAAATGGACTATTACAAGAGCATCTAAATAATGTGCCGACGAATGTGGTTATTGCAACGAATGCATCGCAAACTGAAGAAATTTGGCATAAGAATATTCTGCCCATACTTAATTGGTCTTTTTTGCTACGACTGCCGGATTTTATCCCAGTTTTTATAGCTGAATTTATGGCCATAATATTAGCTCTCCAAAAATTACACAGTTCTAATACAGTAGTAGCCGTCATCACTGTCTCATTTTTTGTGTGTTCTTCTCTTTTGGCATCTGGTGAAACGCTTCTTCTAAAGCTTTTCAGAATACTAGTTCCCGCGCACCTAAATGTCTCCACTTAATTTGGGTACCAGGACACAAGGGTTTGCTTTTAAATGAAAGCGCTGATTCTTTAGCAAACGATGCTTTTGATGCCAATAATTCCGGTTTTCCCGCAGACAGCATACATCACATTTGCATGATTCCGCACCTTAACAAAAAAAAAAAAATGCTTATCAGACCCCGTCTTGACAGCTTCTCCAGATTTCGGCACTTATTTCCTCGGAAAGTGAGTTATTCGCGGTCGAAAATAATGGAAGTGGCCATAACGAAACTTCGCTGCCGGTTACCTCCCTTAACATTTACCTGCTAGAGCATGTCAAGCGTTGTCTCCTCTGTGTACCTTCTGTAAGGAGAGGAAACAATCAGTCATTAATTTCTATCCTGCCACCGCTCTACGTCATTGAGAAGAAATTCGAAACACCACCTCTTCGAAACTTGGGTCTGGAAATATCCGAATCAGTTGTTTCATCATTCGCGCCTCGCCTCTGGGCTACAGTCACAGGGATGTTTACTACGCAATAGGGGAATTTATCAGTCAGACGTAAAGATTATGAGCTGAATTCTTCATTCTTTTAAACCTTTAAATATTATTTCAGTATTATTATTTGTTGTGAAGCCTATCCCTATTACGAGTGGTATTGCGAAGAAAATAATTAACCTAACACTTGGCCTACCTAACACTCCCTGCAATGGGTAAAGCCATGAGGTGAGAGAAGAAGAAGAAGAAGATAGCAACGAGCTGCTTCAGTAGTAGTGTGTCTAAGTGACTCTGTTCAGCCGGCTGAACTGAAGCCGAACTGAACTACTGTTAAGTACGGCAGCACACCGTTTAATTCAGCTTGGTGGAATGATTGTACGCTTGCGTATAGGCGGCGTAAGCTGCTTGGAAACGTTTACACCACAACCATACTCCGAAAAATTGAGTTGACTATAAATTCCACGCAGCACTGTTTAGGCGTACAGTACTTAGCTAAAGATAAACACAAAGCTGACTTACATTCGCGTTTCAAAACCTGATAAAAGATCTGCCCTGTACAGGTTTCTACGGACAAAATAATCGACGGAGGTACCAGCATATTCGCATTCAGTAGTGCTGTCTCCTAAAGACGCAACCGATTTGTTAGAGGGCATCGCGAAAGGACTTGAAGCGCATTTCGCTTCGTCATGCGTACCTATGACATTCAAAAGCTCAACCTCGGACTTTCAGGAAGTCACTATGGCGGAACTGGCAGATGTCTTACTAACTGTAAATCAAGCAGCTCCCGGTCCACATCAGATTACAAACTCTATGATTCAATTGATATTTATTCCCAGCCCGATGAGCGTTTGAATATTGTTAACATCTCCTCACAGCACACATGGATTCCAAGTGCATGGAAAAATGCCAAGTTGTGTTGCTGCGAAAAATCAAAGCCTCGGATATGTCCTGGATAACATTGAGCCAATTTCGCTTACTTCAAACTTAGTTGAAAATTTGAAAAAAATTTTTCATAGAAGGTTCAGTAAATTCACCGCTCGTCAGGACATCCTTTCACCAAGGCAAGTAGAATTTAGACAGGGGTGCTCTATATGGTCGGCTCATGTTGATTTGGAAAGCCGAATTCGCCTTGCAAAAGTATCTGGTGAGCTTTCTGCATTAGTCACGTGAGATATGCAAAGCCTACAATAGTGTGGAACACAGTACATTTTTTTCAAGATTAGTGGACTGTGAGGTGCCCAAGTACATTATATTTGGGTTCAGAGTTTCTCTTTGAGAGACATTCTTTTGTTGCCACGAGGGAATTACTTTTGCCTCATATAAGCAAACACAGGTTTCCACAGGGATCACTTCTGTCACCTCTTTATTTAATACCTTATTATCATTCATTCCCGTTCATAAAAATGTTACTCTTTACGTCTACGCCGATGATTTGCTTTTTTCTCGTCATCCGGAGATATAATAGTTTGTATGAAATCTTAGAGTCATGTTTGAGTGAGCTTGAGGTATGGCTTGGCGGGCTGTCTTTTTTGCTTAATGTTAGCAAATGTTGCTCTGCTGTATTTCTCTATCCGTTCCCGTATTTATTTATCTGCATTATCGAAATGATTTGATTCCAAGAGTAACGACACTAAAATATCTTGGCATTGCTTACGTGGGCAATTTAAATTGGCAGCAACAAATTGAATCAAACCACCCGTAAAGCAGAAAGCGCCCTAGGATTACTACGCCGGTTTTGCAATAAGACTTCAGGGATGCGCAGGGACACGTTACTTATGATATACAAATTTTACGTACGCCCAATTCTGGAGTTTAGTTGCGTTCTCTTTTCCGGAAGTGCCAAGTACAAATTAAGACCTCTTATATTGCTAGAAAGGCAAGCTCTGCGACTGTGTCTCGGGCTACCTGGTGTGTCGCGAATAGCGTGCTTATTTGTAAGGTCAAATCATTCCACTTGATGCAAGATTTCGACAGCTTACTGTGCAAACATTTTAAAACTCTACGATGCACCCCTCTCGGTTCACAGACAGTTTTTCAAATATTCAGTTTCTTTCTTTAAGCGCCCGTGGTGTCATTATTGAAGACCCCAAGTAATTTTCGTCGAGTCTCTGTTATCAAATTTTCACGTTTCCCTCCAGCATTTAACTCCCCAAAGCTATGCTCGGGCCAGTTAACTTAATTTTCGATGACATTTTTCCAAAAAATGCCCAGTTACTTCCAAAGCATGTTGGAGGGCTCCTTCAAGACCATTTCAGCCAATTGCCAATTACGTAGTAATTTCGACGGATGCAACGCAAAATCGTCAGAAGGCTGGAGTATATAGGTATTTTTCTCATCAGCTTAATTGGTCTTTTGCGCTCCAATTGCCTAACTTCACACCAATTTATCTCGCAGAATTCCTGGCTATTACATGGATTTCCGAAAACTAAATTATCAGCAATCAAAAGCTATTATTATTTCGGATGCTTTGTCTGTAAGTACACATCTAACGTTCGCAAAGCAGTCCCTTCTCGGGAAATTAGTCTCTCGTACCACATAGCCTATCAGAATTCGGTTAATTTGGGTCCCGGGCATGCTGGAATTGTACTAAATGACAATTGCTGATTCGCTCGCTTCGGCATCTTTAAATTTCCCGGTGTGTGCTAGTGAGCTCCACAGTTTCCTTTTATTACTGCCGAACGATTCAAACACCTGTTAATCTTAAAAATCAACAAAACATCGCTCCTACAATCTGAATAATTTCGGCACTTGCAATTCACATGGAACACCACAAAACGCCTTTCCCGTGAATGTGAGGTGACCCTCACAAGCTTTCGCTGTAGAGTTCCTCGGTTAAATGTTTATCTCCACAAATTGGGATTTTCATTAACTAACCTATGTGCAGTTTGCAATGAACCGGAAACAATAGATCACTTTCTTCTCACATGCCGCCGCTTCGCCTCACTGCGCCGAATAATTCTTGAAAGACCGATTGGTATGACTGGATTGGCAGTTAATACATCCACCCTATTATCGCTTGTAGCCAGTCAGTTGGGTGCGGTCCGCAGTGCTATTCTGTCAGGGCTACATAAATTCATGTAGGCAACCGGAAGGACGCTGCTAGTGGTACTGCCAGATATATCCAAATCTTGTCCCCTTCTTCATTCTTGCTAATTTGTTTTATATATTCTGGATTATCGAGTTCTTCTGCACTTTTTTCACGTTTTTTCAAAGGAATATTATTGTTCTTATCTAATTTTTCTCTGTTTAGCAAGCGTTGTACAAAAAACCATCTAATATAAAGTACAGCGTGGCCAATCCCCCTTGTGGGTATGAGCCAGATCTTCTAGGCGACAAGACAAGGCAAGATAGCCGTGGCTGACGCGTTATCCAGCAGCTTCCTATTCGGTGGTTTGGTGAACCCCCAGTTTCATAAAACCCCGAAGCGTCGACAATGGCAATGCCAGAGAACCGTAAGCGGCCTACCACCGACACCGCGCAGTCGGCCCGAAACCCCACCGCTCCGGACAACCCGCCATCGCCCGGGGCACGCGTGAATGTGGCCGTGAGGGTGCGCCCACTGAGCGAGCACGAGTCCAAGACGTCAAGCATCATTCGCGTGGTGGGCCACAACTGCCTTGTGTTTGAAGTCAAGGCTGAAGCCGAACCCTTCTACTCTCAAGGGCAGCGGGCGTGCGGGGGCCTCGTCAAGCCAAACCAAACATTTATGTTTGATCACGTCTTTGATGAAGATAAGAACAATGAGTACATATTTGAGCACACCACCAAGGAGATGCCGACGTCGTTTTTTGATGGCTGCAATATCTTCGTGTTCGCGTATGGTGCAACTGGAGCCGGCAAGACGTTCACGATACTGGGCCCGGAGGAGTGTCCCGGAGTGGCCTCCTGACGGCCATCGAGCTCTACTGGCGTGTCGACAAGCTCCGCTACGAGGTCCACTCGTGCGACGTGGTGGTCGCCTACCTGGAAGTCTACAACGAGGTCGTACGCGACCTCCTGACGACCGGCCAAAGGCATCGCCCTCTCAAACCTTTCAATACACAAGGTGAAAGACTGGGGCACTGTTAGAGTGGCTCCTGAAAGGCAACAGGAACAAGTCACAGCACGCCACCGATGCCAACTCAGAGTCATCACGGTCCAATGCAATTTTAGAGGTTTACGTAATGCATACGAAGAACGTGACCAGCACGAGCAAGACAATTTGCCACTCCAAGATGAGCTTTGTCGATCTTGCTGGCTCAGACCGTGCCACTGCCATGAACGAAAACATGAAGGACCGAATACGCGAGCCACCCAGATCAACATATCGCTGCTGGCCCTGGGCAACTACATGGTGCCTTCTCCAAAAGTGGGGCTCAGCGGGTGCCGTACCAGGATTTGAGCTGACGCACATCCTGAAGGACTCTCTTGGTGAAAAGTGTCGCACCCTCATGATTCTGGCCGTGTCGTCATCCAAGCTCAGCTACACCGACAAGCACAACACTGTCAAGTACGCCGAGCGGGCCATGGGGATCGAGCAGCAGGCCCAGAAAAACGCCCTCAACGTCAGCGTACACAAGCTGATGTACAACTCGCTCATAGAGGAGTACAAAGAAAACGTGGAAGGCCTTCAGCGCAAGCTCGACGAGGTCAGAAACGAGAAGTCCGAGCTCGAGGCCCAGGTGGTCGAGCTCAAACAGAGCCTCGCGACGGCCCAGCAAGATGCCCTGCTGCAAATGACACACTGACGATAGCAGCCTCGCCCCAGCTAAGCATGACGATGCCCTGTAGACGACGCCGGTCGTCCCTTCGAATGTCGAGGAGAATGAGCCCAGCGACGACAGCAGGATGGCCTACTTCCTCGACGCGGCGAGAAAGATCTATGTTGTGCAAGCGAAGATCAGTAGGCAGATCTGGGAAAACGAGACCATCATTCGCACCAGCGTGGTGAAGCAGAAATGGAGCAGCAGCAGATGGTGAAGACTGTCAAGGCACTCTAGGGCTGCAGTGAAGACACCTTGAAGGAGTCCGAGCGTCTTGATCATTTTTGCAGTCTCAAGCAGCGAAACGTCTTGCTGCAAAGGAAAAGTTAAAGGCTCTTCACAATAAACGAAGGAAAAACTTTGAGTGCAGCCAAGGCTTCTTGGATGAGGCTGCCACTCCCGGTCACTGAAGGCTATGCAAGCGGAGATAGCCAATCTGGAGCTGGTCGTAGAGCGAATGGAGATGCAGAGTCAGCGACAGATGCTCGCCGAGCTCGCCGAACTTCTGGTTGGAAGTGCAACCACTTGAGGACCTAAACAACGCTGCAGTTCCCCATTTGCGCAGCCTCTATATCATCCTGGAGGCCAAGATTTGCTGCAGCTTGGACCAACGGATTCCCACGAGACGTTGTCAAAAAAGCCAAGGGTGCCGGTGTCACATCGGCGGATGAAGAGAACGAAAATTGAAATGGTCAACTGGATCTTGCAAGTCTGCTCCACGCTCCCGATTGGCGACTGGCCACCACAGTGCGGTCACCAGAGCCTTGACGTGCTCGAAAAAAACATGGCGCACTATTTTTCGCACGTCGCACTCAATAATAATGACTTCACTTTATGTCCTTCTTTGAAAAACGCATTCACATGTATTATCATGCAGCAGGTTGACTACAGAGTAGCACTGCGTGATAGCAATATCGTTCGAGACATGTCAGGCATCATGCCTGATTTATGCACCGTGTTTATAAGTACTTTTGTGCTTCTGTTCTGCCATTTTGATTATTATAAATCACTCAATTATGCATCACTGAAAATATTAGGGTCATATTCAACGCCTATTCAGATTGTCATAAACTTGTCTGCTCTTTAGGACACTTCCTATCCCCTGGCTGCTGGTGATCGTGTGCACTTTTTCTCGGCAAATAAAAAGAGACATTAGATGAAGGGAAAACACATCTGTTTGTGAATAAGTTACTTGACCTGAGCAATAAAAGCAGTCTACAGAAACATGGCTTTGCCCACAGGGCTGTCTTTTCTAGCTTCTTTCGCTTGGCCTCTTTTATAGATGAATGCAGCTATAGTTAAGCTATACAAGCGTCTAAGTTATCACGGTAACATAATGACTTGTTAAAAAAAACTGATCTATAACATTTTCCCGATATTTATACATGCGTGCAACAGGCCGTTTGTACGCAAGCCATTAAAAAAGACCCGCCTGCATCTTCCAAAAAGAGTGAGGTGCACTCGAGTAAATGCGTCACAGATGGTGGGGGTATCGCTGAATGTTGCGTAATTGTAGGGAATACCTATTTGTTAAATTGTCGTTATTGTTTCATTATTAATGAAGGAGGAAGTGCTTGAACAAAGAGTGATGAGACGCTGACGTTGGGTTGTGCGCCACTACGGCTTGAAGGATTTTTTTACTTGGCACTACTCGAGAGTCAAGCAAAGGGTCAAGTCAAGCGAAAGCCTTGTAAAGACGCCTTTGATGAATTCTGTATGCGCAATTGAGTGCCTACATATACGGGGTGGCCAGTGAACGGTTGTGGGAAGGGGCGTCACAGTTATGCGGGCGTCTTCTTGGCTGGCACGATACGCGAGCATGGACAGTGGGGTTGTCGACGGCGCCGTCAACGCCGGATCTTCGACATCATGCGAATAAGAAATGTTCCGTATTAAAAATGCTGCTCTAAAACGACTGAATTACGTGGCACGTACACCCCGCCTGACAGGTAAAGGATACCACCCACTGTGCCCCCGCCGGCCGAAAGGGAGTGTCCTTTTCTTTCTGCTGAGGCAAGCTACTTGGTATACAGTTCTCAGTTGATGCAAAAAATGCCGTGCTGTCACCTATAGCGCGCAACGTAACAAAGTGGGCACAACTCATTCAGCGTCAACACTCGGTATTATATAAGCTCACGTCTCAAACAGCTCTTAAACACGCCAGTGCTCAGGACAAATGCTTTTTCTTTCGATGACCTGTAGCTGTAGGGCTTTGCCAATAGGAAATTTGAGACGCAGATCAAATGCGAATGTAGTAGCATAATTACAAGTAATCGAATATGAATTGCATGCTATTCAAATAGTAAGAATACAATTTTCAGAACAGTTACTTCAACAATATTTAATGTGGAATTAACAGTCAGAAACATTAATAGAAGGATCGACGACTTACTTTAACCATTAAAAATGTCAATATTAGCATAACTGGTGTAAACTCATATAGGCAGTTCCCGCCAATGAAACAATTTTAAGTGTTCACTGAAATAAGCGGTTAATTTAGAGCTCAAATGTTTTTTTTCGCAACACTTTTCAATAAAAGTGATGAAATCATACATATTTCCACCTGATGTTCTGTGCCGTTGAACAGTGCGCCAGTTCTATGCCAGTGAATGAAGAGACGAAGACGAGCAACCCGTGCCAGGAAAAAGAAGCGTTCTTCGCTGTGGCCAGCACGCGCTGTCCGGGGACTGCGTTCGTGCCTGCGCCTGCGTTCCTTGTTCCATCCTCAGGGTGTCGGTCAAGTAGCCGGTGGTTACTTTTATTTAATTTTATTTTATTTTATTAGATCTACCTCTTGTTCCCCAAATGTTTTAGTGCATTGATAAGTGTAACTTCTTCTTATTTCATGTCCGTTTCTTCTCCGGGCCAGAGGCCTGCCCTCTGGTCAGCCTCTGTTCCCCCTCAAGATCTTCCTCTGGAGTTGTTTCTCCGCAATGGAACCCGTAGCGTTGCCTGTCGCTTTGGTGCCGACCACCGGTGGGTTCATCCGCATGAAAAACCCCAAGACAATCCAAACGGAACTTCGTGCGATCACTCCCCACTCTCTACTGATAACAGAGGTTCGTCAGTTTGGACGCGGGGGGATACTATGCTGCTCACCAGACAAGGCCTGCATCCAAGACCTTCTGAAGTGCACTACTTTTGCATCACATCCGGTGAGCTCTTTTATCCCACCTCATCTAGCTTGCTGCAAAGGATTGGTTCGGGGGGTAGACGCAAGTCTAAGCCCAGCAGAAGTCTTGGACATCTTTTCCCCAGCAGGTGTTATTTCTGTTTACCGCTGTACCAAACAGGAAAACCAACAGAAAGTTCCCACTGAAACTGTAATTGCCACATTCGCTGGAACAGATCGCCCTTCGGAGATCAAGGCATGGCCGCTTATCTATAAGGTCGAAGCTTTGGCTCCCCGTCCGCTGCAATGTGCTAAATGTTGGCGCTTTGGACACAGTACTAAAGGTTGTCGATCGGAGACTCGATGCCGCATATGCGGAGCCATATACGGGGCTGGTCATAGTACTGCTGAGTGTCAATCAGACAATAAGGACATGCTGTTTGTGCAAGGCAAATCACGCTGCAGACGATCCTAACTGCCCTGCAAGATCAAAGCAACTTCAGGTGATTGAAATCATTGAAGGAGACGATGCTCTCGTAGAGAAGCAATTGCAGAAATTCAAAGCAGGAGTCAGGGTATGCCGGTATAGCAGCTCGTCCACCTCTTTCTATGGATGCATCACTTTCTCAGTCTATTTCTGCTAATGTAGAAAAGGCCGTAGAAAAAGTATTAGAAAATTTTTACTCAATCTGTCGACTCACTCAATAGTATTATGGATTCACAGATGTCGGTGCATCTGATCGAATAACTAAGCGTATCCAACCTCCTAGTGCCTCAATTAGTAAACCTGCCGAACATCAGTCAGATGTCTCTATCGATAATGAGGCAATGCTTTCTAGTCCTAACACAACTGAGCAGGAAGGTATATCGATTCAGAATCAATAATTAATCGGGATGTAGATATGGATGCTCGCCTTTTGAAACGCACCAGATCACCCACTAGCAAACTTAATAATTCTTCTCATCCAAAAACAAAAAAGAGTGTGAAGGAACCTAGGACTAAAGCGGACTTCTTAAAAGATAGTATCTTAGATCAAGCAGTTGCTACTGCTTGCTTATCATCATAGGGTACCTTAGAGTACTTCAGTGGAACTGCCGTTCAATTCTCTCTGCAACTACAGACTTATTATACCTAATTTCTCAACAATCTCCAGACGTCATAATTTTACAAGAAACTTGGCTGTCTGCTGATCAAAACTTCTATCTAAAAGACTATCAGTGCTTTCGACTGGACCGAGACTCACGTGGTGGAGGATTAATGTTTTTCATTTCATCCAAAATTTGCCATAAAGCACACTTAGTTTACCAACAAATATCACACGATTATGAAGTATTGGTTCTGGAAATTCACTTTCCCGGATGCGCGCCACTATCTATAGTCAACAACTACTTTCCGGCTGGAATACAAGATGAAAGAGCCCTTGACGTGACTGCGAGTTTTTGCAGAAACAGTATGCTATTTGCGGGAGACTTCAATTCCCATCACGTTTCATGGGGATTCCGCACTGATTCATCAGGAAAACGGTTGTGGGACTGGACTAATCGGAATAACCTTATTTGTTGGAACTCCAGAGTTCCGACATTCGTTCGATGTGATTCGAGGTCCGTCTTAGATTTGACATTTGCTAGCTCAAGTGTGACAATATCGTCTTGGACTGTTCTTGATACTGCTACAAGTAGTGATCACTGCCCCCTGGTATTTGAAGTCAGCATCCCTTTAGTGACGGTAGATCGCCAGGTGCAAAGTTTTGTAAACTACTCTAAATTTAAAAGGAACTTACAGTCAACGCTGTCTTCCTTGCCCAATATGGAAGCAAATATGAAAGCTATGAGCCTTTGTTCCACCCTAAAGTATACAATTAAAAATCACAGT